GGGGTGATTTCTCGCTTTCTGTCTCTATGTCTCTCTCTGTCTGTCTGGCGAGCGCACGCGCCCTACAGTGAAAATCTCTCTCTCAAAAAAAAAAAAAAAGAGTAAAAGAGAGAAAACAGGCCAGCAGGTGGCATGGAGGGCAAGGGCTGAATGCCCAGCACCAGCTGTGTGGTTCGAGCCCCAGACCCAGCAGCTTGAAAATCACGCCAGGCGCGTGTGCGTGCATGCCCAAAATCCCGAGAGAAGGAGGAGAAGGAATTGTGGTGTGGCCATTTCCCCAGGGTGCGATTTCTTACTTTCTCTCTCTCCCTCTCTGACAAGAACACATGCCCTACAGCAAAAACGAAAATAAATCAATATCATTAATCTTTCTAAAGAGAGCGATGAGGCTCGTGAAGCCTGTAGCGCAGTGCGGGGCTCACAGGAAGTAAGCGAGCTGGATGTGAAGGCCGCTGTTCCCGCCAGCCCCGGTGCCTTTCCTGCTGCTCCATGGGGCGTATAGCGCAGGATTCTTGGAGAAGAGCTACGGAAACCATTCAGCGAGGATTTAAACAGAGAAGGAATTTATTTCAAAGGTGTTGGAGAGGCTTGCAGACAGTCGGGATGACTGCAGAGCCGGACTCAGAGAGTGGGCTCCATCGGGGAGGGTGGGGAGCAGCGAGCACCCAGGCAAAAATCGCGCCCCCAGGAGCAGCCCAGAGAGAACCCTGTAGCCGTCTGGGTTCCTTTCTGCTGCTCTGGAAGCCGGACCTGGCACCACATCACTTGCAGAGTGGAGTCTCCCCTGGCCTGTCACCTCAAGGCCACCGGCCTGGGAACCACCATGGGGGGGGGGGCATCTGGACGTATGCAGCATGCCCGCACCCTGAGGGAGGCTGGAGTATGCTTCTGGCTACTTTGGCAGCTACAGTGGGAGGTGCCTTCTCCAGTGCTTGACATTTAAAACACTGATAAATGTCTACACGGAAAACGAGAACGAGTAGACCGTGGTCCCTGTCCTTAGGATGCTCACGGACTTGTAGTGGTCAGCTGCGCGGACGAGTAATCCTGGCAGAAAGTGGCGGAGGCCACAGTGGGAAGAGAGTCCCAGTAGCGTGCCCCTCGCCCCTGCGGCTAGGCTGGGGAATCTCTGGACGCTCCTGGCCACCTGGGTGTCATGACTGGGGCTTGGTGTCCGGGTTCAGACACTCTAGAACTTGTGTGGAGCCCCAGGAGCGATGCACCTTCTCAGGCTCGCAGGAATGTGGAAATTACTCAGCCTAAAAAGCTGCTTCCTGGCCTTCGAGGCCTTCCTTTTCATGTGCAGTCCTCGAAGTCCCTTTGGCTGTGTTTTTGAATGGTCTCTTGTCGTTCTGGGACATCGGTTTTCTATGTGGCCGGGAGGACTGAATTTCCCAGGGTCGGGATACCCAGGGTGGGCTAGGAGGAGGGCGGGACCGGGCCGTGCTCTGACATCAGTGTCCTGGCTACTCTCTCACCCACACCCTCACCTGCTCTTCCTGTCATCACTACCTCTCTGTCCTGGCGTGGCCTCATCCCAGGGAAACCCCAGCTGTGGAGCCCTCTCTGTCGCTCTCCTGCTCAGCACCCTGGGTTTTCTGGGAGCAGACAGCACACACATTCTGAAATTCCAGCAGCCCCAGGTCACTGCCGTTGAACCCAGCAAGTTGTCCTGGAGAGCCCCCACAGTGGTTGAAGGCTTGGGGGCAGCTTCCCCTTGTCGGGTGGTGCAGGGCCCCCAGGCCTGCCCCCTCTTCCTCCTTGTGGCAACCTCAGATGCAGCGTCTTCCTGTCGTCTCTCACACCTCTGGGCTTCAGGCACGGCAGCTGCTGCTCGCCTGCCCACCTTCCTCCCTGCTGCAGAGCCAGAAGAGCCTCCCACAGGCAGCCCTCCAGGGTCACGGTATCTGCTCTGAGACCTGAGGCAGGGCTCGGGGGAGTCAGGAAAGAGGGCGAGGAGAGGGGGTCAGCAGACTGGGATACTGGACTGAGGGTTTTAGGGTTTGGGGCATTTGGAGTCAGGGCGGAAAGGGCAGTCCCAGAGGGGACCTGGGTTACTTGCTGAGCTGAGGTGATCCCTGCTGCATGGCCCCACGTGGATGGCAGAGCAAGTGCCAGAGTGGGGAGCAGTTGAGGACGCGGGTGGCCCTGTGGGGCCCGCAGGGCACTGGGAACTCGGCTCTCCCTCAGGCGTTGTCCCTGGTGAGGGAGGGGCCTGGCCTGCGGCTGCTTAATACGCCAGGGTGCAGGGAGCCTCTGGTTGGTGGAGCTGTGGACCCGTCCCAGCATGGAAGAGCTGCCTCCCCTGAGCAATCGGGAGGGTTCCCTGCTCTCTGAGCTCCCTGGGGGTCACCTCCATGAGGACTTCCTGTCCTCTCCCTGGCCAGCTCTGCTTCTCACCTCTGAGTGACAGGTGTCCACAGAGTCCCCCTCTGCACTGCCAGGTGAGCAGCACTGTTGTCGCACTAGTCCAATCCTCTAGTTTGCAGATAGGGAAACTGAGGCTAGGGGAAGTGACAGGCTCATGGTCACACAGCATCGGTGAGATGGTCCTAGAACCCAGGCTCCTGTCTGGAGGGTCTTCGAGCTCACTGTGACTCGCCTGTCTTCCCAGCAGGGTTCAGGGATGAAGGGTGGGCCAGATGCACAATTGGGTCTTGGCCGCAAGTTCAGAGTCCCCGGGGACACAGGCGACTCCCCGTCCCTGCACCGAGACTTCCCGCTCTGTCAAGGTGACCAGGTAAGGTGGGGTCCCAGCCTTACCTTTGAGGGGTCTGCTTATGGTAAGAGGTGACATCAGAAGGAAGGGGGCAATGTCTGAAGGGAACTAGATCCCGCCCTCCCTGGTCCTGAGCACCCCTACCCACACATCGTGGGGGTGTGCCCAGAGACTCCCCCACCCCTTCCCCCGGGGGCCCAGACTTGCCAGCCTGCAGGGATGAGCAGAGGAGGGCCAGCAGGAGGCGCAGAGTGACCCAGGCTGTGGGACTTGGTGGGAGGGCCCCGGGGGTCCCGTGGGGTGTAAGTCTGAGTAGAGTTCACCCTGGCTCCATTCTAAGCTCCAGGGAGCCACAGCGGTCAGGAGAGGGAGTGGGGCTGGGTTGGGGAGGGGAAATGAGGTTTGGCAGAGTTCTGGGGGGCAATTCTGTGGTGGATAGGACGGTTCCTAGAGAGAGAAGTCTTTGGATGAGGGAAAGGGGGGCATTTAAGTGGCAGATATGGGGTGCGTGGCGGGGAGTGTCTTAGCTTCTTTTTCCTTTGGAAGCTAAACTAGAGGTGGGGCCATCCGAGGGGTCCTGGCGTTCCAGCCAGCAGCCCCCGAGCTCCGTTTCCCCTGCTGGCCAGGTCTTCTCAGCCTGCAGGCCACTTCCAGACGCCACGGACACTCAGGGCCCGTCATGTGCCAGCTGGCTCTGCCCTTTGCCACTGGTACCAGCCAGGCCTGTGCTGCTGGCCTGCCCCCGGATCCTGGACCTGTACCTGTGCTCCCTGCAGCCGGCACCCCTGGGCGCCGCCCCGCAGGGGCTCAGAAGGGACTCCTGGAGCACCGGTAAGCCCAGGGCGTGGGAGTGGCCTGTGCCTTGGCTGGGGGCTGAGGGGGTGCCTGCGAGGTTTGGGAATAGAACAGGGAGGCCCCATGAGTTCAGAGTTCGGGAACATTCGCTTCCACCCTCCGGGAGCTCGGGCATGCAAGGTGGTGCCAAGCCCAGGAGGTGGGCAGCGGCTCTCCAGGACGGGTGTGGCAGTCACGGGGCTGGGGCGGTGCCCTGTGTGCTCAAGATGTGTGAACCCCAGGGGTCTTTATTATAAAGCGACCCAGACCGCAGTCAGGGGATTGCAGTTACAGCCCTGCTCTGCCTTTCTAGTCCAGACTCTGGCCACGTCACCGTTCACGCCTACGCCTGGTTTGTCCCACACTTTACTCACGCAACTCTGAGCTCCTGGGGGGCGGGACAAGCCTGCCCTGGCCTTGACTTCTGGGACCCCAGTCCAGAGCACAGAGTAAGATGACTCAGTCACGCTGAAGGAGCGAATGAGTGAGAATCCAAGCAGACAATCTGCTTTTTAACATTTTTTCTATGTAGTAGTATTTTTTTAAAGGTTTTTGCCATGTGTGCTTGCCAGAAAGACAAAGGGAAAATGAGAAAGCACCCCCCAGGGGGGATGGCCACATCACAACCCCTCTCCTCCACTCTCCTCCTGGGATTTTGGGCACACACATGTGTATCCAGTGTAATTTTCAATCTGCCGGTTCGAGACTCAAACCACGGTCAGCCATGTAGGAGTCCTTAGCCACCACGCCCCCTGCTGGCTCCTACATGCTAGCAGTTTTTATTGGCAGGTGCCATTGCAGACTGGGACATGAGCCCCAGGGGAAGCACTCTGCCCAGTCCCCCAACAGGCCTGCAGGCTGGAGTGTTTTCCTGACCGAGAGCTGGGCAGTGTGATGGGGTGGAGCTCTGTGCAGGCTCTGGGTTCCTGACCTTCCCTTTTCCACTCAGAGCACCAGCCACCAGGGCTCCATGCCAGCACCACCGATGACCAGAAGCTCACAGACAAGCTCCCAGAGAGCAGGGACGAGACAGGAAGCCGGCCGGAAAGAGTTGACCAGGGGGCCCCCTGCCCATCCTTCTCTCCTCACAAGAGCGCTTCCCCAACCCCCTGCTGGGACAGAAAGAGCCCCTGCCCTCCTCCCACCGCCCCCTCCGTGGAGCTACCATTCAGGCTCCACCCCTTCTACCCCGGGTACCCTCTTCTCCTGCCTCCACCCTGCCTGTTCTCCTATGGGGGGCTACCTTCCGTCCGGTGTCCCCACCTCTTCCTGCTGCCCCAAGGCACCATCTCCCCCACTGTGACCATGCCCAGCTTGCTGATGACAGCCAACGAGCCTGGGCACCACGGTGCCAAGGGGGAGACCCTACTTGCCTACCCAGCGGCCTTCCAAGCCTCTAGCCAAGCCCTACCCTCCCAGGCCTGGAATTCAGGTCCTGGGACTGCCTCGACCTGCTCCCCAGGGCTGGAGCGCGCTGGCCTGGCCACTCCCGCCAAGCGAGGCTCTCTGGGCTCGCGGGCAGGCACCGCGGCCCTGCCTTACCCCCTGAAGAAGGAGAACGGCCGATTCCTGTACGAGTGCAATGTGTGCAGCAAGAGCTTCGGGCAGCTCTCCAACCTTAAGGTACAGCCTCTGGGCCCCGCTGTTCCCCGCTGCACTCTTCAGTGACCCCCCCGCCGTCCTACTTCCAGAGGCAAGAGCCCTACATTGAAGGCACTCCTGGGCAGCCCCCAGGGTCATTTATGTGGACGGGGATGCAGAATGAAATGGCACCAAGGCCCACGCCACCTTAGAAGACTGTCTGAGATCATCTCATTTAAGTTAAAAATGGAGACACTGAGATTCCTAAAGGGCAGTAATCTTTCTTTTAAGAATTATTTTATTTCAAATTGATTTATTTAAATTTGACTAGAGAGGGACAGAGTGAGTGAGAGAGAGAAAATGAGAAAGCAAACTGCCAAGTTCGGGACTCGAACCGATGTCGGCCTTGTGGAAGTCTAGCGCCCTTAACCACTATGCCACCTGCCAGCCCCTCTATTTTTAAAAATATACCAGAAGGCACCAATGCATGCCAGAGAGAGGGAGAAAGTGTCCCCCTATGGGCCCTTGTCACTCAGCAATCCCCATTCTGTCCCTCTATTCCATCGGATCTTAGACACGCACCCGCACGCACACGTCTGGGATTTGACTTCGGTGTCCTGTGTGGCATCCGGCTTCCCCTACCCTGTGCTTAAGCACCATCACCACCCTGAAGGGCTGGCCCTGGGGAGTGAGCGATAGCCAAGACAACTTAGATTTAATACTGGGGTTAGGTTTTGATTTCAGTCTCTCCACACCTAGTTCAATGCCCTTTTCTGGACAGCCATCTTTTCTGGACTCCCTGTTAAGCCTCCTCTTTGGTTTTCGACGGTCAGATGGGGGAACAGGCAGACTGGTGAATTTAGACCACATACCTGACAACCAACCTTTTCAAGTGGGATTGCACAAATCGGCGGAGTGTTGGCGTCGCACCCGCATCTCCCAGCAGGGGGCGCCCGTGGGCGCATCTCCGCGTGTTGGCAAAGACCGGAAGCGAAGTGCCCGCTGGCGGCCGGGGAACTTGAGGAAAAGTCACGGTTTCGGCCCTGGTAGCCTCAGCCCACGCGGAGAGCTGGTAGACGTGCAGCCTCCTAGGCCCCAGCCCAGAGATCGTGAGGGCAGGTCGGCTAGCCCGAGGGTCCGCACGTCTGACTGCTCCTCGGGGCAGGCCCCCGACCTCGCTTTGGTGGCGCTGCTCCAGGATGTAGCCGGGGAGCGGGCAGCCCAGGGGATGCGCGGCAAGGGGCGGAGAGCCCCCGACCGCTACCAGGGGGCCCCCGAGAGGGGGGGGTGGATCAAGAGGGACCACGGGGGCGC